ATCATGGTATTATTATTATTATTATTATTATTATTTTTGAGACAGGTTCTATGTACCCCAGACTGGCCTCAAATTTGAGTTCCTCCTGCCTCAGTCTCTCCAGCAGTGCAATTATGCATGCATGCCATTATGCCTGACTTCCCTGTTTTCCTGAACTCCTGAATTTATTTTTACCATAAAAAATGAACTATACGCCAGGCAGTGGTGGCCCATGCCTTTAATCCCAGCACTTGGGAGGCAGAGGCAGGCGGATTTCTGAGTTCGAGGCCAGCCTGGCCTACAGAGTGAGTTCCAGGACAGCCAGGGCTACACGGTGAAACCCTGTCTCGAAAAACCAAAAGAACTGTAGTCAGAAAAACAATCTCTCCTCACCCCCACCCCCACTCCCAGAGGCAGATGTTAACATAATTTTGGTGAAGGCTCGTGATGTAGATCAGTGGTGGAATATTTACCTGGCATCCACAAGGTTCCGGACTCAATCCTCAACAGCAAACACACACACATACATGAAGTGGAAACTTACAGGTTCTTTGGAGAGTTAGTTGTGTTGGATCACCGGTGTTTTGCTGGGCCAGACACGTGAAGGAGTGTTTTCTGAAGTGGACACATGTGAAAGGATGCTTTATTAAAGCAAGCTCGTGAAAGGACATTTGATGAAGGATTCTTTATTAACGACACACGCATATATTAGTCTGCCTTAGATGGTGTAGTTGAGCTCCATTTGTCGGGACTCCGCAGAGAGAAACGCAACAACCAACCTCTGGTGGTGTGTGGAGGCTTCCTGTTGCTTCTATGGACTCAGGCTGATTGACAGAGTGATGTCGGCTGAGACAGAGTCACGTACTGAAGACACATACTGAGACAAGACCCGTGAAGGACACGTGATGTTCAGATGGAGTGATGTTCAGACTTGACGGACAGTGAGAGAGGTTGAGCTTGGCTTGCTGGTACGGCTAGCTGTACAACACTTACTGGTCTCCCGTCTTCCCTGATCTTCCCTGAGAGAGGCACAGCCAAGAACTTCTCCTGGCGACCCTGTTGGTCCCTCCTGTTGACTCTTGCTGAGGCGCTACTGAACTAGACTACTGGTACATCCATAAAGTGTCTGCCAGTGGATCAAGCTGCTGCTACTGACCTATGAACCTAAGTGGTGATTTCCAGACAACACGGACAGGAGTTGCTCCAAAGAATATTTCTAAACTGGTCCACTTCCCCTGCATCCTTTCTTTTCTTTTCTTTTTTTTTTTTTTTTTTGTTTTTCAAGACAGGGTTTCTCTGTGTAGCCCTGGCTGTCCTGGAGCTCACTCTGTAGACCAGGCTAGCCTCGAACTCTCGAACTCAGAAATCTGCCTGCCTCTGCCTCCCAAGTGCTGGGATTAAAGGTGTGCGCCACCACCGCCCGGCACCTGTATCCTTTCTTTTCCACTACCTCTGGTGGGTGGTGGGCTAGAGAGAAGGTTAAAATGTTTAAGAACCATCATTAGATGTAGGTTATAAAAAAAAATTAAAGTTACACACACACACACACACACACACACACACACCAAACTACAATGCAAACTCAAAAGCAAGCAAACAGAAGCCTACAGTTAAAGGCAGAGGCGGTCCTGCGGAAAGTAGAACATGGTCCTGGCTCCTGTGCAGCTGCACTCCAGGGGACTGAAGAGCTATAAATCTCCATTTTGGTGTATGCATCAACTTTTTGTGCAGACTTAAATATTTGGACATTTATGTAGAGCATATCTCATTTAAAAACATATGCATGGGCTAGAGATGGCTCAACAGTTAAGGGGTGCTTACTGCTAGGGCATAAGGGGCGGAGTTTGATTCCCAGCAATCACGTAGTGGCTTACAACTACCCAGAATGCCATTAACTCCGGTCCCAGGTGATCTCACACCCACAGGCTCCTTCATGCAATCATCATACATTAAAAAAAATCACACACACATAGTACATAAAAATATAATTAATTAAAAAGCCAAACCAGTCATGGATGGTGGTACATGCCTTCAATCTCAGTACCTGGGTGACTGAGGCAGGAGGATCTCTGTGTCTGACTAGCCTGACCTATATAGTGAGTCCCAGGACAGCTAAAGCTATTTAACAGGAAGACTTTTGTCTCAAAGAAACAAAACAGCAAAACTTCCATACCTACAAGGTCTGCAATGCCTGCTTGGGTTTAATCCCTGGCATCACAGCAAAAGAAAGAAAGGGTTACAGGGCTGAAGTGATGAATCAGTGTTTAAGAGGCTGCTCTAGAGAGGGCCCAGGCTTGGCTCTCCACACCCATCCACATGCTGGTTTATAACTAGTTGCAAGTCTAGTTCCAGGGCATCTAACACCCTCTTCTCGCCTCTGAGGACATCAGGCAGAGAAGTAGTGCACACAGACATGCAGGCAAAAACACACACAAGACCTTAAAATCTTCAAAAAAAATAGCTGGCTGGAGAGATGGCTCAGCGGTTAAGAGCACTGACTGCTCTTCCAGAGGTCCTGAGTTCAATTCCCAGCAACCACAAGGTGGCTCACAACCATCTGTAAAGAGCTCTAGCCGGGCAGTGGTGGCACACACCTTTAATCCCAGCACTTGGGAGATAGAGGCAGGCGGATTTCTGAGTTCGAGGCCAGCCTGGTCTACAGAGTGAGTTCCAGGACAGCCAGGACTACACAGATACACAGAGAGACCCTGTCTTGAAAAAACAAACCAAAAAAGAAAGAAGAAGAAAAAAAGAGCTCTGATGCCCTCTTCTGGTGTGTAGGAAGACAGCTACAGTGTACTTATATATATATATAAAATAAATAAATCATAAAAAAATTTTAAAAAACGGAATCCACATTGGAATCATCTGGTGAGTCCATGGGCTGTCAGGATTTGGAGAATGGCTGGCAGCAGTCAGATGGGGACAAAGTAGTCTAAGTGGGTGCCATGTGCCTCAGCACCCAACTTTAGGGTCACCCATAAGAGTGACAGAGAAGAGATCCTGGTTCCTGGTGACAAGTCACAGGAAACTAAGAGGCTTATACTGACAGACTTTGTTTCTTACAGGGCAGGTGGCCTTAACTAAAGCCTCCTGCCTCCGCCTTGGAGGAGCTGGTACTGGAGAGATGGACATGGCCAGCTTTCCATAGAACAGGGTTTATCTTACAGGGAAAGTCTCAATTTAAAGAGGAGAACCTGGGTGTCATCCTGAGAGTTAGCAAGAGGGACACGTAGAAGTCCTAGGTTGTGAAGGCCTACCCAGCATGGTGGCTGAGGTGTGGGGAAAGGGCTCTAGCAGGGATAAATAGCACAGGAGAGTCAGGGGCTTGGCTCAGCAGGTAGAGGTGCTAGCTTCCAATCCCGACAACCAGAGTTCAAATCCTGGGCTCAAATGTGGGGGAAGGAGAGGACTCCTTCATGTTATCCTTTGGTCCCTTTTTTTTTTTAAGATTTATTTATGTATATGAGTTCACTGTAGCTGTCTTTAGACACACAAGAAGAGGGCATTGAATCCCATTTCAGATGGTTAAGAGTCACCGTGTGGTTGCTGGGAATCGAGCTCAGGACCTCTGGAAGAGCAGTCAGTGCTCTTAACCACTGAACATCTCTCCAGACCCCCTTTATTCTCAAAATAGATATGTACCTTTTTTTTTTTTTTTTTTTTTTTTTTGACAGGGTTTTTCATTATAAACCCTGGTATCCTGGAACTCACTCTGTAGACCAGGCTGGCCTTGAACTCAGAAATCCGCCTGCCTCTGGATATGTACCTTTTTTCTTTTTCTTTCTTTTTTGTTTTTGAAATTACACAGGAGTTCCAAAAGTCCTCCAAATGAGGTATGTCAGAGACCAGGCACTATCTGCCAATAAGCAAAGCCCACATTTTTCTCCTTACCCTTTATTCATACCTGGATTACGTTTTGACAATTCTGGGGAGAGAACTCAGACTCACCTACAACACTGGGCCAGTCTTCTGGTACTGAAGACTCCAGCCCACTCAGGCAAAACTTCGCTGAACAAATGACACACTTCTGCAAACATGATGAAGGGTACACAGTACTCAGCATTTTAGCATGACTGAGTGAATGCTTCAGCCAGGCCAAGCAAGGTGGCAAATGCCTTTAATACCAGCACTTACTGATCTGAGTTCAAAGCCAGCCTGGTCTACATAGCAAGTTCTCAACCAATCAGAGCTACACAGAGATAGATATATCTCCTGAAATCTCAGCCTAGAGAACAGAAATCACATGGCCAGAATCACTGCCAAGACTTGATCTGGAATCATCAATTTAGGTTACCCTTGTTTCTGTTATTGACACAAATTTCTGTAAGTGTTCAATAAATTGTGAAATGCCCATTTTTATACTTTCTGCCTCAGGTGAATAAAGTCTTGGAGCTGGTCTGGGCCAGTCGTTCTTAGTTTATACTGCCCATGTGCTTTAGAGACAGAGCTGTGCACATGGGTGAGGCAGACGTGAATGCAGGCAAAACACCCGCACACATAGAGGTTAAGAAAAGTGGACCCTCCCTCCACCCCACCCTTGGAGATGCAGCAGAGTAGGCTGAGGGTGACAAGGAGCCATGGAATTCTCTGGATGAGTCCTCTGTACCAGGAAAGGGCAGGGAAGACAAAGGCTGAGGTTCAAATGAGAACAGTAGATTCCTGGAGAGGGTTCTCCCACCTCCTTTGGGCGTGCCATACACACCTAATTTCACTTACTCTTCACACTTCTAAGAGGCAAGAAGGCTAGCTTCATTCACAACTGGGGCAACTAAATTTGGCTGAACCAAAGCTGATGACAGCTGCAACCTGAACCCGCAGCAGGCCCTCCTCCTACACACACACACACACACACACACACACACACACACACAGATAGGTAGCTGCTTCTTACAGGGATACCTCGTCACTGTGGGAGCTCTGTTTAAATCTGAACCGATGCTCCCTGGATTCTTTTACACACTGGCTTTCACCCTTCCCTCCACATGGGAAAGCTTCCAGACAGAAAGACCCACGGCTGGTTTTATAATTGTTTGTTACAAAACGTTTAATGTTAACCTACAATACAATGTAAACCTTTATGAAAAAATTTGAAGTACACTAGATTTCTTCAGGAAATTATTAACTACTAAGGTGAAGTCCAGGCGGGACACTGCATCTCTTGTGGATGCATTCTTTTGTTGCTGCGTTCTTCACAAGTCAAAACCTGCCCCCAGACAAACAGAAAAGCCAACCAGCTGTAGGGTGGAGGTCCTTGTCCAGTGCCAGGTGACACCTTCTGACTCTGTGCTCTGGGGCCACTGCTCCTTCTCACTTTCTCACTTCCTTTCCTGGCCCTTGGCACCATTAGCAATTTTCGTAATAACTGATCAGTTGGAAAGTCTAGTTTTTTTTTGTTTTTTTAGTTTTAAAAGAAACAGGCTTGCCTTCTCTTCTCTGCATCTCATAGTGGAAGCAAGCAAAGAGAAAAACAAAAACAAAAACACAAACAAAACCTATCTGCCACAGACAATTCTGCAGAAGAAAAGACCAGACTGAGGCTTCAAAACTTCAACTTCCTCAGGCATTGTTGCTTGGTCATCCCCATGGTCACTCAGCTGAGGCCACTCCAGAGGGGATCGAGGGGCAGGACTGGGAACAAATGCGTCCACTGTCCATGACCTGACTTTCAGAACAACTGGTGGAATATTTTGGAAGGTATATAAACAACAGCAGGCCTCTTCAAGCTCACAGGTCTTAGGAAGTCACAGACTGAACTGGCTTGAGGGACAAAAGGTGAAGTGCACAGCTCACCCAGGGAGAGAAATGGCACCCAGACATCAGACCTAGGGACAGCAAGTAAATGGAAGTGTCTCACAGCTACTGGAGAGAGAGCCTGATGTGGTGTGCACACCCACATTCACACCACAGGAGCGGGGAGCAAGAGGGTTCAAGGCCAGCCTTGGGTAGGTAGAGTTTTAGGCCAGTGTGGGCCATCAGAATTTATGTCAAAAAGGTGAGAGAAAAACTAAGGGAGAGGGGCAGATGATGAGAGCTGGGTAGGTGCTCCTGCACAAGCCTCTGGGCATGAGCAGGCTACCCTCAAGAGCTGTGGCAATAGAGGACCCTGTTAGTCTGGTGCCTAGTATCTTTTTGCAGTTATCAAAAGGCATAAAATTAAAATGTACACATTACAGAAAGAGATTAAGAGGGAAAACCCAGAATCTCCCCAAGCAGCTGTGAACAAGACACTTCCACAGTCCACACACCCATGTGCCAGGTAGACAGACGGGGACGACGATCTGGGAGGGAGGCTCCGAGTGGGAAAGTCCCTCTGCATTGCTGTCAGCAAGACAGACTTCATCTGAGAGTCCTCTCAACCCGTCACTGAGTGCCAGCAGACCTAGCAGCGCTAACATTTCCCAAGGTAGAATTCAGAGCCCCGTGAGAGGGCCTCAGGGATATCCTCGGGTTTTCCAAATGACTCCACAAGCTGTCCTAACATGGCCCCTCTACCAATGGAGAACTGCAGACAACAGAAGCACAGGACTATTACAGAGGGCAGTGGCTTTAGAGGGCTCTTGGAGGTGATCAACACAAGCCAGGCTTTCTCTTGACTGGAATGCCCACAGTCTACCAGTGACTATAGTACTCCAGAGAGTTGCAGTGTGTCAAACCTGTACCAGTCTAGCTAGTCCACTGGAATACTTGTCAGTGCACACTGGCATGTGCTAATACATGGCTCAACCACATACCCACGATCAAAAATTCCATCACAGATGAGACATTCAGAGGGGAAAAAAAAGCTCCTGCTGCTTCACCATGGCAAGAGGAAGGCTACAAGCTGTCTCTGGTGCCATGTAGTGTGCTTTCCAACTACACAGAAAAGCTGGGAGTCCAATTGTTCTTTCAGAGTTTCTGGTTCAAAACTTGAGACAGGATCTGACTCTCTAGACCAGGCTGGCCTGGAATTCAGAGATCTGCTGCCTCTGCCTCCAAGTGCACTACCATGCCTGCGATGGGTCTATCCTTAAACATCATTATCATAGTTGCACTGAAACAGGACAAGCATCCACAGGTGGAATGGTGGGCCCAGGGTTGGGTCCTGCTAGTTCTCTGGAAAAGGCACCAAGTTTGGCAAGTTAGGGAAGCTGGGAAGAGCAGCATGAGGAGTGGGGGGTCGAGGGGGAGAGACGGGGACCAGGAGCTGCTATCCTTTGGTTCAGACCTCTTCACCACCACCTGGTACAGATGCCAAGGTAAAGCTGTACTTGTGTGTAAAGGTGAGCACACACACCACACAAAGCCTTTTGTGGGTCACAATCTGAGACTTCCTCTCATTGTTCCAAATGGAATATGCAAGTAGCAGAACTGTACCAAACCAAATGACCTCTCTGGGACCGGGAGAGGAATAGTGGCAGAAGGAAGCGCAAATGAGCCCTGGGCACCTTTATTACACCGCCGTGGGCACCCACAGCATCGGCTCTTTATCAAATCTAAGGAAAAAAAAATACACCTAAGACAGCCTCATTCCTTTGGTCATTATCATTACAAAGCAAACAGAAACAAAGTTATTCATAAACTGCAGGCAGTCTGTTCCGCTTCTTTCCCCTCTTCCTCCAGACACGGGAAGAGCAGGGCCTCAGGAGCTGCTGCTGGAGCTGATGGGGGTTTCATTTGTATTTTCTACAAAAGCAAGAATGACTGAGAAACAGTGGGAATGTCTCCTTCCCCACGTGGGCCGATGGATGGACGGACGGGTTGGAGGGTGACGTCTCCTCACTGGAAGGTAGAGGAGGGTGTGGGAAGGTGAGTCTGCTGAGCAGGTATGCTCACTGCTGACCTGGCACACGCACGCAGGTTGTGACTCTTGCAGGCAGCATGGTTTCTGATCCTTCCATAGGATGCAGCAGTTTTTTAAAAAAAATATTGTATTATAATAATAATAATATGAATTTATCTCTTGTTCTCTGTTTTTGTTTTTCCATTTCTTTTAGGGATTAGGGTGGGAGGAAGGAGGCAGAAGTGTCATTCATCTGTCAGGTCCTGAACAAAGAGAACTTCTGTGTGGCTGAGTCCTGCCTCCTGCAGTGTTGGGGGGGTGGGCCATTCCTCTGAAGGAACACAAGGAAGTACCCGTCTTGGAAAATTGGCTTCAATCTGAAACTTTTCAGGGCTTTCCTTCAAGGAGAATAAGAAGTCATGGATGACCTGTAGGTGCCACAGAGAAAGAGTGCAGTGAGGAGAGACCCAGTGTGAAGTCATACGTCCCAGCCTTCCCCAGGAGACCCAAGTAGACAGTGTCACATTGCAGTGGAACTCCACCTCAAGCATTCTAGGTCCCTGGGAAATATTGTTGTGGTTCTTTTAAAGAAGTCACAGGAGAGCTGTGGTGGCATATGCCTTTAAAAAACACATGTTTAAGAGACCTAGGAACCTCACACCCTTGGACTTTCAGAGTATGTCCCCAGTTAGAGAAAACCTACAGTGGGAAACCTGAACTCTGCCATCAGTGAGCGCCATAATGAAATGTGCACAGTACTGCCAGTTCACTAGTGAGTACCTTACAACAGTTAAAGGAGACAAAAGACTGCATGAGCCCAGCACTTCTGGAGGCAGGTTCAAGTGTCAAGGCCAGCCTAGTCTACATAGTGAGTTCCAGGACAGCCAGGGCTGTGTCTTAGAAAAAAAGAAAAAAGAATTCGCACAAGCTAGTCCTCTGAATTATGTTGTGTTCTTCCCTTTGAGAATCTGTCCTTAGGTAAAACTAAACAATTTAAAATTTGTATTTGCTTATTTGAGGGTCTCACAATGTAGCTCACAGTGGACTTAAGCTCAGAGATCCACTGCCCTCTTCTGCCTCTCCCAGTGCTGAGATCAAAGGCATGCACCAGCATGGGGCAATTACAACCAGCAAAGCTAAACAATACTTACTTACAAGTGTAGTGCACAGAGTATTTCCCTTTGAGTTAATTTTAAGTGGTCTGTCAACCTGGTATCCCATTACCTTTAAATAACCTCAAAATCAGAAAATTTAACTGATATATTATAAAATTTAATACACTTATCCTTCGATACCATGGAGGTTTTAGGATCCCTCTCCCAAGCCAAAATCCTCAGACATTCAGCTGTAACTCATACAGTGTCCTGTCTCCTTAAAATGGTTGAAAGTACTCACACTAGTGCACTGTGCACATTTAATTATGGTGCGCACTGATGGCTTGCTTCAGGTGGGACCAGATTTTCTCTAACTGGGGATGTTTGTAGAGACGCACTCTGAAACTATAAGGGTATGAGGTTCCTCAGTCTTAAGCTTGTTTTGTTACTTTTATTTTTAATTTTTTAAAAAGATTTATTTACTTATGTATATGAGTATGCTGTAGCTGTCAATAGACACACCAGAAGAGGTCATCGGATCCCATTACAGATGGTTGTGAGCCACCATGTGATTGCTGGGAATTGAACTCGGACCTCTGGAAGAGGAGTCAGTGCTCTTAACCACTGAGCCACCTCTCCAGTCCCATTTTTTTTTTTTTTTATTAATGGAGGTTCCTCACTTCCTGTTTTAGCCAATAGGCTATATGTTCTGTCAACAGCTACTTTAGTGTTCAGACTATCTTAGATGGAACAGAGTTTGTATGGCTGGCTTCTGTGTCTTATGCATTTCCCCATCCCTCTAGGAACAATGCCTTGCTTTCTGACAAGCTGTTCTAGTTTCTAGGTTCTAATATTTTCTTTCTCCTGGTCCAGCCTCAGAAACAGCCAATTCCAAGGATAGTTGTTTATTTCTAAGTCTTTTGCTTTTATTTTTTGAGACAGGGATTCTGTGTAGCTCTGGCTGTCCTGGAACACAGAAATTGTCCTATCTCTGCCCCGCTGAGGGCTGAGATAGAAGGCAGCCCGCCACTCAGTGGTTCATTCTTTTCCATCTTTGCATGAGTTCACAGGGCATCACCAGGCTTTCAAGCAGACTAAATTATTTGGTACATGGTACTATCAGGGACTATTTAATCCCAGGCCAGCATGGAATTTAATTATTTGGTACAAAAAAGAAAAAAAAAAAAAAAAAAAAGCCGGGCGGTGGTGGCGCACGCCTTTAATCCCAGCACTTGGGAGGCAGAGACAGGTGGATTTCTGAGTTCGAGGATAGCCTGGTCTACAGAGTGAGTTCCAGGACAGTCAGGGCTGCACAGAGAAACCCTGTCTCGAAAAACCAAAAAAAAGTAATTATTTGGTACATGGTACTACTATCAGGGACTATTTAATTCCAGGCCAGCATGGAATTTAATTATTTGGTACATGGTACTATCAGGGACTATTTAATTCCAGGCCAGCATGGAATTAACCGTGCCTCCTTTAGATGCCATTCTCCTCTCCAAGTCCAGTTTCCAACTAAGCATTTCTTTAAGTTTTTATTTATAAGGCCACACAGGTGGCTTAGCAGGAAAAGAGCCCTGGCTGCTCTCTGAGGACTAAAATTCAGCCTTCAGCACTGTTGGGTAATTCACAACTGTCAGTAACACACACACACACACACACACACACACACACACACACACACGAAATCTTTACAAATAAAGTGGTCAGGGCTAGAGAAAGCCCAGCGCTAAGAGCACTAGATACCCTTGCTGAGGGCCAGGACTATTCTCAGCACCCACATGGCAGCTCACAACTGTCTGTAAGCCCTGTTCCAGGGGCTCCAACGACCTCTTCTGGTGCCTGCAGGCACTACCAGCATGTAGTATACAGACATATATGCAGGCAAAACACTCATATACATAAAAATACAAATAAATAAGTCTTAAAAAAAGAAAGACAGTTTAGCGGTTAAGAGCGCTTGCTGCTTGCTCTTGCAGAAACCGTGGGTTCAGTGTTTAGCACTCAACTGAATAACCGACATGGGACCCACGGGGCAGGCTACAACTGTGACTCCAGCTCCAGGGGATCCAACATCTTCTGGCCTCTACAGGCTTACGACACACATGTGGAGTGCATATGGACAGTCAGACAAAACACTCATACATGTGAACTACAACAAGGAAGTGCTGGGAAGAGAGGACAGAAGATCCCTAGGACCTGAGAGCAAATCAATTTAGTACACACAGCAAGCCCTGGGTCCCAGGAGAGACTGTCTCAGAAGAAAATAAGGAATGGATCCTGAGAAAAAACATCTGAGGTTGACCTGATTTCCATATGCAACACATGCAAACATGTGTGTGCATTCATACACACACAAATACATTTTAAAACAAACAGATGAAAATCCTAAGAGTTCTTGCTAGGTTTCACACAAACTTTTCCTCTGAGTACTCACTGGGAAGAACCTCCACAGAGGAAACGATGAGTGAGTCTGTAAGCTGAGATTTATACACAAAGCAGGGCATGGTGACACATGCACCTGTAGTTAGGAAACAAGAGAATCAACCTCTGGTGACCACGTACTACATAGCAGGTACTCTGGGTAGCACAGTGATGTTACCCAATTAAAAAGTCCAGGGTAGAGAGATGGCTCAGTGATTAAAAAATCTGGCTGCCCTTCCTAAGGTCTTGAGTTCAAGTCCCAGCCCCCAGCTGGTGGCTCACAACCATCTGTGATGGTAGTCTCATGTAACTCTCATGGAATCTGATGCCCTCCTCTGGTGTGCAGATGTACATGCAGACAAAACGTACACACATAAAATACAAAAATCTTTTTAAAAAAATTAAAAAATAAAAATAAGTTTAAAAATTCAGGGCAGGGGATACAGCTTAATAGGAGACCCTGAATTCTATCCTAAGCACTGGAAAGTAAAACCCAAAAAAGCAGCTGTGAGCACTGCTCTCAGTGTGAACACATGGAGCCATCTGCATCATTTCCACGCCACGCCTCCTTTTCATCCTGTGCTAGGTCTCTGTGTCTTACCTTGCGTGCTGACTGCACACGGTACAGCTCAGAACAGTTAGAGGGGTGGGCAGGAGCCCTTCAAGAGGGCTCAGCATGTAAAGGTCTTCTCTGTCAAGCCTCAAGGTTCCATCCTGGGGACCCACAGAGAAAGGGGAGGGACTGGCCTCCCATGGTTTGTCCCCACTCTCCACATGCACACATCACAGCCCAAATCACAGCACCATCTAGCTTAGGTGATCCTTACTGTTAGAGACTGTGAAAAATGGAACCGTCTCTCTACTCTGGAATCATTGGGTAACTTGAAAATGATCTTGACACTTTCAGGGTCATCAGGGGAGGGCTCCGGGGGCAGGCGCTCCAGCTTCCTCTCCTTCTCCTCCTGTAAGTTCTAGAGAAACACAAAAAGGTAAGGATGTGGCTCAGCAGGGATACAAGAAACCCAGAACACAGAGGCCATGAATGTTCACTCAAACTTCATAAACAACTATTGAAATCCTCCTGAGGGCCAGCAGGATGGCTCAGCAGGTCATGGTGTGCAGATCCTGAAGGTACAAGCTCCAGACAGACAGAAACCATGGTAAGGGTGGAAGGAGAGAAACGACCTCCTAAAGTTGTGTCCTGACCATCCCAGAAGCACTGTGGTACGCGTCAGCCAATGCTCTCACATCGCACACAGAGCGGATAAATAAACAAACTCCTCTTTACTGACTGGTTGAGGCAGGGACTCATAGTATAACCCTGGCTGGCCTAAAACTTATAGATTAGGCTGCCCTCAAACTGACAAACTAGCCTCAATCCTGCCTCTGCCTTCTGAGTGATAGGATGAAAGGCCTGCACCATTACATCTGGCTAGACAAAATTTAAAAACAACCCCTCAGAAAAAAAACCCTCTTGGTAAGAAACAAGAACAAGCCCGCACACCGCAGGCACTGCTGCTGTGGGCAGGCACTGTGTACTGGGCAAAGGGCCATCCTGGATGTAAGGAAGCAGCAAAACAAAGACAAGGAACAGCGGTGTGGCTCACCTGTCGCCTTCGTTCTTCGGCCAGCTTCTGCTGCTGCACCTCTTCCTCCTTCCGGCGCTTCCGCTCTCTCTCCTCCCTCTTCTTCCTCTCTTTTTCCTGGTCTGCCCTTAGAGAAGCCAGGTAGGCTTCATCCTGCTGTTGTCTCAGCACCTGGGTTTGGTTCCTTTCTTCCCTATGGACAGATTGAAAGCGTTCAAACAAAACACTAACTTCACAAAACTCTTCTCCTAGCCTGTCTTCCTCTTCCTGCTCACTCCTCCCTCTCTAGGACAGAGCCAAGGGCTGACTGCATGCTAGACAAGTGCATTCCTGACTGTGTCCCTCCCACTTCTCATCTTGAAGGTCAGCCCCTAGCTCGATATCCTCCTGCTTCAGCCTTTCAAGTACCGAGATCAGAGAAATGTCCTTCATGCCCAGCTCCTGGCTTCTACTTCATTAAACAATTTATTTCTTAATGAGACAAGGGTCCTGGTTGTTGCTGTTTACTTGTGAATTTGACACACTGGACACAACTAGTTACCTGAGAAGAGAGAACCACAGCTGAGAGAATCCCTGGCCTACGGGAAGCCAAGGGGCACTTTCTTAATCAGTGATCCATGTGGGAGGGCCCGGTCCACTGTGGGCAGCACCACCCCTAGGCAGGTGGTCTGAGATGCTATTAAACACAGGCTGAAGCCGGGCGGTGGTGGCGCACGCCTTTAATCCCAGCACTTGGGAGGCAGAGGCAGGCGGATTTCTGAGTTTGAGGCCAGCCTGGTCTACAGAGTGAGTTCCAGGACAGCCAGGGCTATACAGAGAAACACTGTCTCGGAAAACCAAAAAAAGATAAGAAAAAAACAAAAACAAAACCACAGGCTGAGCAAGGCACCAGGAATATCCCAGTTAGCAGCAGATGGCTTCTGCTTCATTCAGTTCATGTCCTGACTTCTCTCAGGACTGTTTTTACGTCAATCTGACACGAGGTAGAATCTTCTGACAGGAAGGCTCCTAATCAGAAAATGCCTCCATAAGGTCAACTGTGAGCAAGCCTGTAGGGCATCTTCTTAATTAGCAATTGATGTGAGAGGGCCCAGCTCATTGTGGGTGGGGACACCCCTAGCCTGGTAGTCCTGGGTTCTATCAGAAAGCAAGCTGAGCAAGCCAGGGGAAGCAAGCCAGTAAGTAACATCCCTCCATGGCCTCTGCATCAGCTCCTGCCTTCAGGTTCCTGTCCTGTAATACAGAATTAAAAGCAAAATTAAGCTTTTCCTTCCAAACTTGCTTTTGGTCATGGTGTCTTATCATAGCAACAGGAACCTTAACTAGGACACAGGGTTGTCCTAGTACTTCTTCTACTGAGAATTTGGGAGCAGGGTAGACATGCTGACCCACGAAGGTGTGTCTGAAGCAGAGCAGAGCAAATGGTGTAGTTTGGGATCAAAATCTGGGTGTCACTTTGTAGCAAGTGCTGTTACCCACTGAGCTATCTCATGGCTCTCCACTTCCTGTCTGACAGTGTACCCACTGAGCTATCTCACGGCTCTCACTTCCTGTCTGACAGTCTCACGCACTTAGACAATGAACATTAGTTATTTTCAACTCCAATCCCCCTCTTTTCCTCCCGACTCTGTCCTTCCGTATGTGGCCAGAGTGCAGTTTCCTGACAGAGGGTAGCTGGGACTTACAGAAACATGGCAACTACTCCCCACAAAAACCATTGATGCCCAACAGTCCCTCAGGGAGGGGCGGGCCTGTGAGTGCAGTGACTAGGAGTGGCATCTCTCCTTCCTCCCTGACAGCCCTGAGCCCTGAGGAAGGGTCACAGCTGTCCCACTCAGAGCCAAGCACTGCAGCACATCTATCTATTCACGCTCGGGCGGTTAGAGGCTTCGGCATGTTTCCGTCTACATTAACTTATGTGTAGGTGGTACTGAGGAAGAGCCAGCCAGTCACAGCACACGTGGAGGTCAGAGGACACCGCTCTGCTCAGTGTTGGGATTACAGCTGCATGCAGCTGGTCCTAGCTTCTCATGTGGGTGCTGCAGATCTAAGCCCCCGTGGGAGGCCACCTCCTCGTAGTTACCTGGGTGTGGCTGCTCATGTTCTCACCGTGCTCACGCGGTCAAGTCTGGACTAGATGTCTTCCTAAGAGCTGAGACAACGGGAGCTCACTAAGTGCTTCCCCGAGTTGGCTCGATGGCTTGAGCTCATTAATCAGAGCACACGCTGTGGGAGCCTTGACCTGTGTTTATCGCTAAACATACATGTGGAGCGATGCAGGGTGCAACTGGGATCCAACGCGAGCGAGCAAGTGAGCGAGCGAGCGAGCAACAAAGAGGAAAGGTGACAGCCTTCAGCTCGAGCTCTCACCCAGTGGAGTCTGATGCTACCTCAGGCAGAAGGTCAGAACAGAACTGATCACGTAGACACCTAGCTGTTGTCTACCACTATGTAACTAACTTGCTTGGTGCGTGGACAAAACCACCTACACATCTGGCGCCACATGTGATCTGTGTTGAGTATGACAAAGTAAACAGGCCTTTTGTTTGTTTTCTATCATTATCTTCAGAGTAAGCAGAGAGAGGCATGCACAAGTGTCTACAAAACTAAAAGCACCATAGAATTATAAATGCTTTTAAATTTTTTCTTTGACTTTCCCATTTCAAATATTCTATAACTACTGTACATACTTCATGTAATGGGGGAACCCCTAGTACCTTTCTAGGCGTTCTGACACCAGGTAAGTCTGGTTTGCATCCATGATGAATGTCAGCTGGTTGATGAGGTCATCAGGTTGAATGAGGCCTTCTAGCCTCCCTACCACAGTCATTCGACGATCCTTCAACATAATCATAGCCAGGAATGGATAGGTGTTCTCTCGTAAAGCCTGGGAGACTGACACAAAGACCCAAGAGACGAAGCATAAGATTGGGAATGAAACAGATCAATCCTCAGACTGCATACTGACAGAATGCTTTAATCTTGGCTGGGAAAAAGGGACAGTGTCATTTCTTTTTTAGTAAGTAACTGCTAGAAATACACTTAAAGATTTACGTCTGTCTTCTGTGTATCATACTTGTCTCCTTGTACACCTGGGCATCGTGTGCACGCATGGTGCCTGTGAAGGCTGGGGGAGGGTGTCAGAGTCCCTGGAGCTTGAGTTACAGTTGTGAGCTACCATGTGGGTGCTAGGAATCGAACCTAGGTCTTTTGCAAAAGGAGCACATGCTCTTAACCACTGGGCCATCTCTCCAGCCCCTCTACTGTGTTTTGTGTTTTTGTGTTTTGTTTTCCCTCTACAGGTGTGTGCAGAGATTAGAAGACAGCTTTCTGGAGTTGGTTCTCTCCTTCCACTATGTTGGATAACCAAACCCAGACTGCATCATCTCATCAGCCCGGCCTGGTCTCTTCCTTTTTCTGTCACATGTCTGTATTCCTAAGCTGAGGTGAGTGCTTAGACAAGGCAAGGCTTCTCGTAAGTTGTTGTCATGCTGGGGAAGGCTGCAAGGCTCTCGGACACTGTCTACGGAGCGGAAGGAGGAGGCTCCACAAAGAACCAAGTTATGCTTAAGAATAATGAGTGTCTCCACGTGTGAAGGTCGGAAAGCCACTGGGAGACAAGGCTGCAATTCTCAGCTGCACGCTGTTGACCGTGGTAGTTCTTACACCACATCCGCTCCCAGTCTCTTCCTCCTCATCTAATTCCTTCCTTTCCTCATTTTCCTATTCCTTCTTCCCTTAACAAGGCAGCTTTCTGCTCCAAGTAAAGTGAGAAAGTCAGTCTGTAAATAACCAAAATCTTACTAAGATGCAATTGCATCTATGCTGTTATGTTATGAAAAAAGAAATTGTATAACTCTTTACAAAAAGTATCCTCTGTGCCATCTATCTGCTAGCCCCACGGAACCACATTAGAATGGCAAAACACATGGTGCAGGAACATACCACACATTTACAAATCACTTAGGAGTAAAGATTAACAACAAAGATGCAGGAGAAACAGCTACAGTAGATTTAGCTCTGAACACCAGGCACTGAGGCCTAGGCGTTAGCACATATAGAGGTTGCTGGACAAAAAGGCTACAAATAGACTGTATTTTTGCCACTGGGTGTCTTTGTATCTTCTGATCCTTTCTGAAAACAGTCATCTCTGAGTTGCTTCCAGAAAGACTGAACTCCCAGCATCCACTGTTAGCACTCACCAGCACTCACTACCCAGAGTGCTGCTGAAAGCCTGGACAGAGAAGATGAAAGCCTAGCAAAAGCCTGTTAAAATTGAAAGTGAGCTGCTGGGCAAGACTGACTTAAATGAGAGTCTCTGGCAACGGTTAACTATAAAGAATGGGCCTTAAACTCCAACCATATGCTAACCATATGCTCTTGGATCTGTCTTAATGTCTCTGAGACTGTTTCATTAATCTTAAAGAAGAAATAATACAGCCTTCATCTCTCAGGCTGCTGACCAAATTAAATGATATAAAGAAAAACCATAACTAGCATTCTGTCTATCACAGAACTACCACTTGAGAAATGGCATAGCATGGTTTTCCAGAGTTCCCCAAAGATACTCTGACCTTCTCAGTGAGGCAGAGGAACACAACTTACCCCTGTACCCCTCGGGTTTGTTTGTAGAACAAGCCCAAAAAAGCATCCTGCTGTTTATCAGCGAGATGACCTCAGGTGCGCAGAGAGCATTGCTGGGGAACAAGATAAAACAGTGTGAGAGCAATCTGCCAACTATAAACCATCAGCAAAAACGTCAGAGAAGAAAGAATATGACTCATCTACTTACCGGCAGAACTCATCAGAGTCCTGGTGGTCATCTCCATGAAGATAAACCAAAAGAAATCGAAGTTCCCGCTTGGCATCATTAAGTGCCTTCGAGAGACAAAAGATCACAACTTACTATTAAGGTTTTCAACTACTATCTAGGCTAAGGGTCCAGATGAACTTAACTATTAATCAATATTAGCAACTAGAAAGAGGGGAGGGAAGTGGGGCTGAAAGGGAAGCAAGAAGCTAAGTACTTCCCAGGCTTTCTACCTTTGCATCCATCCCTGGCATCTTTCTCCTTATAAAGCCCAAGCCAACAGCTTTAATGAAAAGCCTTTCGTGCTGTTAGAATTTATGCTGCATCAGGCACATGAGGTAGAAGAAGTGACACAAATAACTCCTTACAGTCACAAGAAGTCAGCTGTTCTCATGGTTTAAAGGTAAAACAGGACACTGTGACTATGTAGAAGCAATTTTGCAGCTTCAAAATTCTTGTCAATAAAAAATTAGCTGCAAAGATGAGTTGGATCCAGCAAGAGGACAAGCAAGCAAGGACCAGAGCACCCAAAGGTATCCTAAAGAGCACAGGGTTCAGAAGATCTTCGGAGACAAAGCAAGTGTCCATGAATCTTGTCACTTATAAACGGTATACTCCTAGCTAACTGCCTGTAATTTCCTGAATGGCTAATGTAGTCTACCCTCATCTCTGCCATCCGCAGCCCCGAGCATGGTGTCTAACTGTGCACAGCAGACATGTAATGTTTACTGAGTGGGGTCCAGCAACCAGCATGAAGATCAACTGATAAAAAGGACATGTGGGTAAAAGCAGAAGCAAGAGTGAGCTGCCCCCTCTCCAGATAAGAATCAGGAATTCCAGACACTCCACAACACAGCCATCTTTTAACGAATGTCTGTCTTGTTCTTTATTGTTGTCTGACAAACTATATATGACTAAAATCCAGTTTTCCTCCCTGAAAGGAGAAAATGAAAGGTCTTTGTGGCTTAGTTTGAATCAAAGAGCTATCTTGAGCCTGTGGTCTAAATCCTATTCAGTTCTGTAAAGGATCAAAACAAATTCTGCTTTTGCCTTGAAGGTGTGTACAGTCTGATAACACAGCAAAGACGTGAACACAAATTATGTAAGGAGGAATGTAAAATCCCTATAAATTTAAAAACAGAAGGATGGAAAACAAAAAGGAAGATCAGTACTTTAGAAAGCAAGGTAGGGCGAGATGGGGAAAGACAGAGTGGTCGGGAGGACAGCAGGAGCTGGTGTGAAGGACAGGCAAGGCACCCATTAGCCAAATGTTAAAAAGACACTGCAGGTGGGAGGAAGAGCAACAGCAAGGCTCTAAGGCAGGCACTGTTCAGGGAAGGGGCAGTGGGGACCAAGGGAATGAGGGGACGAGCTATGCAGAAAGGACGTCACAAGAATGGGACTGGGTCAGCAGGCTAGAGGAAGGGCGTGGTCCTGCCTCTGTTTACATTTCTCTAACCAATGAAAAACTTTTGTGAGTGTAAGAGCAACATGATCACAGCTAAGCTACACTTTCCTTTGAGGACAGAATCATACTGGTAAGTTGGCATCTATTTGGTTTGTGGCACTGACCTGGCTGTACGTTCCCTGGTAGAAGACAGGGTGTGCCCTCCCATATTTCTCTTCAAAAGAGTGCATAAATGAAACAATGTCCCCAACAGGGTCAGTGACCCGGCTGCGAGGGTCAGGCCGTATAAAACGAAGAGCAAACCTGGGGAGGAAGGAATAAATATCACATGAATTGGCTTACTGTAGCGCGTAGGGACTGGGCCAGTTTGTACAGACTTTCCTAACAGAGACAGAGGGGGTAGCAGAGGAAGTGAGTGTCAGTGAGTGGCCATTAACCCTCAAGGTAGAGCCTGGCTGGAAAGCCACAGCCACCGAGTGTCCACTCTCTGCTAAAGAAGACTGTGCACCACTAGACAACAACATTCCAGTGCTGGCCTGAGCATCCCGGCCTGAGCATCCCGAGTGCTCTCTGTAGAAAAACAGGACCAGAAGGCTGGGGTAAGGATGATGCAAATCGCAGACACTGTCTACCGTGGCAGCCACTAACTATTTATGGCTGTTTTAAATGCATTAAATTAAATACAATTATAATTCAGTGCCTCAGTCACACCTACCATGTCTCAAGTGCTCAATATGTGGTCAGTGATTTGCACACCAAATAATGAGGACAAAGAATGTGTTTTAATCAAAAAAAAAAAAAAAAAAAGGAAAGAAAGAAAGAAAAGAAAGAAAGAAAGGAAGAAAGGGGTACAATGGACAAACACTGCTCTAGACCCTGTCTAGGTCTCCTACTTGTAGCTTCTTCTTCATGTTCTGGGATTCTCATTTTTCAGCTTGTACTCACTCTCAAGTTATCAACAGGGACTTCAAACCTGAACTTAATCACAACTGATTTGTTCTTCAAAGGGGCATGTAAATTTGCTTGATGTGTTTACACAGATGGCATCCATGGAAGGAATCATAAAACTGACCCAGATGTGGAATACTGGTGGCTACGACAGATCTAAGGATGTAGTGCCTCATGGGCACACATACCACCCCTGAAGTCTAGGCTGCCGTACCGCATCACACCCTGTCTTTATGCTCTGGGTTTCCGGGTTTCCATACAAGGCTATGGGGAGAAGGAGGATGTGCTACATTTCACATTAAGTTGCCTAGATGACATCGTTGCATTAAAATTAGTAAAACACGCCATGCACATTTTCCCAAGGAAAGCAAACAATATTTACTTGAATTTTTAGTATAGAAAAAGGTGAGTAAACTCTGATAACTTTACCAATTCTTAAGCCTATTCTTTTCCCCTTCCCTTTTTTAGCTGAGATAGGATTTCTCTTTGTAACAACCCTGGCTGTCCTGGAATTCTCTTTGTAGACCAGGCTGGCCTCAAACTCACAGAGTTTGCCTATGCTTCCCTACGCCTCCCTTGTGCTGGAATTAAAGGTGTGTGCCATGATGCCTGTTAGTTCGAGGCCAGCCTAGTTTATAGAGCAAATTGCAGTTACAGCAAGAGCTACACAAGAGAAACCGAGTCTCAAGAAACTGAACCAACCAAACAAATTTCCCATGAGTATTTTTCCCGAGTCATCAAACCAAATTCATCAACATGAACAACCCAGGAAAATGAAAGACATAAAATATGATTAGCTCTGTATATAGGAATGAAGTTATGAGTGCTTCAGAAGGCTGGCATTTCGACTAAGTTCTCTGAAAAGGTTATTTAACAGCTATCTCTCTAAGCATCCAAACCCAAGGGAGGGGCAAAGGCTTGAAGTCCACTCTTTCTCACTACAATGCATCTCAACAGCCAACACAGTCTAAGCCATACAGTCTAAGTCAATTCAGTTTCCATTGGGATTTTCAAAAATTTTATGGTTTCACATGCCCATTCCTGAATTAAACAGAAATGGAAAAACTACAAAGCAGGTAGCCATTAAGAAGTCTGCAATGGCCAGGTGTTGGTAGTGCACACCTCTAATCCCAGCACTGGAGAGGCAAAGCAGGTGGATCTCTGAGTTTGAGGACAGCCTAGTCTACAGAGTGAGTTCCCGGATAGTCAGAGCTACAGAGAAAAAAAAAACAAAAACAACAAAACAACAACAAACCCCCTACCAACCAAATAAACAAACCAAACTCAAACCAAAACAACTAATTTTTCTACAGCAAGGATGCCACTGAGCAGGAGAGGCTACTATCCAGTCCCTGATAATAGCTGGGTCCCTATTCCCGCATCTGAATCTGGAAGGGCGCACTTTGTGCACGTTGTATTTCTAGCTCGTCATTGGCCTGGACGTCATGCTCGTCCACTCACTCTCCCCCACCCTGTGCAAACTCAAACTCCTCTTGCCTCATTCTCGAGTGGATTACAGACTGATGCTAGCACACCCAGCCTCCAATAGACATTTCAGCTTTTAGCAAAGCCCGGACAGGCACTGCCCTAGATCATATTCTGTGTTAAGCCTAATCTGCCAACAAGTCAGATTATACTCAACATTTCCTAGCTCTGGACACTGTACCTTGCAAAGGTAAGTTATTTGAATGGCACACAAAGAAAGCTAGGTGGTGAAGGTATGAAACAAGAGAGTGTATATCCGAAAGGCTTCCGGTGTTGGTAACCTAAGCATCGCCAGGGCAGAGGGAAACGTACAAAACACTGCCTAGAAAGATGCCAACAATCTATGGCTATGTGGGTATAGTCTTGGAGCAAGAAAATCTACTGGGATTGTGAACAGTCAGAGGAGAAGTGGTTTGGGGCAAAAGTTCCTGGAGTATGAAATCAGGAGACAGATAAGGTGGTTAGAAAGGAAAGGGCATGGGGACTCTCTTGGGAATGTAGCAGTGACAAACATGGTGGAGAGAGGGAAGACCAATAAATAAACACAGGCAGATCCATGTGGTTCTTACAGACAGCAGCCAGGACCAACGTGAAGCCAATCGAACATCTTCCACTAGGCAACAATTTACAACATTTCTTACTTTAGTAAAACAAAGTGCAGGAAGACTATTTAATCTGACAAGTAGGCTAGTCAAAAATGATTAAGTGTCAAGCTTACTCTAACCTCAAAGCCTACCTTATTGATAGGAGCATATAAACACAGAGGTACATACCTAAATATATCAAGTATCGTGTAATAGGTAAACCGGAATGGAAGCATTATCAAGTAATAACCCCATCCAAGCAGGCCCTGGAATTCCAAAAACAAAGTTAGAGACCCTGTTCTTTCAATGTTCAATACTTGCAGAAAATGGCTAGTTCAATTTCCATCCCCCACCCCACTATGGTGATCCCTCTCTCTGTTTACAATGCTCTTCCTGGCAGTCTCGCCCTTGAATGCTACTGCTTTGGTATCTATCATTTCATCGAAGACTACTGTTTTTCACAGAATTTTTGCTTTAAATCTTTATAACATTCTCAAGCAACTACTTCAATTCATTGTCAATGGTTTCCCCACATAACAAACATTCATTCTTCCATCTTATATTTAAGACTCAATATATGGGACATAGAAATAACAAGAGAGATAATTACTGCTGCTTTGGACACTTGTATGCAACCACAGACTACTACCACAAGGACATCCTCATATATCCACTAATCTCAGGCATAACACTAGTCAACCTATCTTATTGCTCTTACATATGAACAGCTTAATGTCAGACTATGTCACATGTCCTGTATGGTCATTGCACTGAGCTCTAAAGTTAAACGGGGATCAGGGTCTCAAGCACAAAGTGAGGTCCAGTTCAGCTGAGGAAACACGGGGACACAGGAAATTACTCCCTGAGTTATGTACTGCTCTAGGAATCTGATTTGTTTTTGTTTTGGATGTTTTCCTTTTGTTTTTGAGACAGGGTCTCTCTTTTGAGTCCTGGCTGTTCCAGAACTCACTATAGTGCAGGCTGGCCCACCTGAGGCAGCTAATGTTGGAAGTTCAAAGAGGTGGCCGATCTGTACTCATCTACTTTAGTCTTTCTTTCCTTATTTATGGCTTTGTTTTCTGTGGTTTCAGTTACCCTCAGTCAACTGGGTTCTGAAAATAGTAAATGGAAAAGTCAAACCCTAAACAATTCTTAAGTTTAAAACTGCAAATTGAATAGTGTGACAGTGCACCATGCTGTTCAATCCCGCTTAGGATGACTCTTCATCCAGCCTTCTACACAGACAGCTGCCTACCAGTCTTAGTAGCCATCCTGGTTAGCAGATGTCTCAGGGTGTTGCTTATGTTCAAGCAATCCTTATTTTACTTAAAAAAAAAAAAAAAAAAAAAAAAAAGACCCTGCCAGGCATGATGGTGCACACTTTAAATGCCTAGAGTGGAGAGGCAGAGGTAGGTGGATCTCTGTGAGTTTGAGGCAGCCTGGTCTACATAGGAAGTCCAAGAATAAGTAGGGCTACATAGTGGGAGCCTGTCTCAAAAGAACAAAACAGCCCCAAAGTGGTGGTCCTAGGAGTGACACAACAAAGGGAAACCATAAAGAGATCCCACTAAGAGAAAGGTAAGACTTGAGAAGTCCCGTGGTGAGGACAGGTAACAACAATCTTTGATTCATAATTGTGAAGGAAGAGGAGTCTGTGCTAGCTTTGTTGTTGCATCTTAAATAGCGAAAGTGACAACAAATGCTTCAGGAGGACATTAAAAGCATCAAATAATAAGTACTGGGAGTTGAGGACATCTACTGAAGACCTTGCCAAGTGTATCCTCTATAAAAAAAGGGTGTCATTAAGCCCCACATTTATCTGGGTGTCAGCTCCACTATGTTACCCAGGCTGGCCTCAAACTTGTGATTCTCCTGCTTCAGCACTCTTTTTTAATTTAATTTTATATGTATGGATGTGTTGTGAGCATAATGTCTGTGGACTGTGTATGCCTGGTGCCTGTGGAGCAGTTGTGAGCTGCCATGTGAGTGCTGGAAATCTAACCTAGGTCCTCTGCGGGAACAGCCAGTGCTTGACTGCTGAGCCATCTCTATGTCTTTTTTCTCCCTAAGACAGTGTCTCATGACAGAGCCGAGGCATACCTTGAACAGCCTCCCAATGGCTAGGACTATAGGCATGCACTACCACATCTGCTCTAAAGAAATTTTTGAAATATTAAGTACTCCATATACACATATGAAAAATATGATAATGTCATTTTAATTGCTCTAGGATTGAATAAAGTGCTTAATTAAAAAAAATCTAAGTGCATGTGTAAGAGATGAGTGTCATCACTCAAAGAAAGAAAAGCTCACTAAGTTCTTTGGAGCTAACAGTCAGTTACAGATCTAATCTCCTTAACTAGATCATGGGAAATCGGATTAAACATGAAAGCTAAGAAGAAAAAATCCAGAGTTGATGACAGCCTGGGCTACACAGAGAGATCTTGCCTCAAAAGGACAAAGTGGGGCTCGCAGACTAGATCAACAGGTAGAGGCACCTGCTGCCAAGCCTGCTGTCTTGATTTACTTATTTATTTTATGTGCGTGAGTATACTGCCGCTCTCCTCAGACACACCAGAAGAGGGCATCGGATCCTATCATAGATGGTTGTGAGCCACCATGTGGTTGCTGGGACTTGAACTCAGAACCCCTGGAAGAGCAGTCAGTGCTCTTAACCGATGGGCCATCTCTCCAGTGCCTGCTGACTTGAATTTGATCCCTGTGACCCACATGGTACAAGGACAGAATTGACTCTTCAAGTTGTCCTTGGACCTCCATGTACACACAATAAATAAAATGGAATGGAAGATGGTTCTGAAGGAAGAAGTGGGAGGCAGTGAGAGAGGAGAGGAAGGAAGAGGAGGGAGAGAAGGAGGAAGAGGGACAGACAGTGAATGGAAAGGATGAGGAAAGGAGAGACTGTGAAGTCAGTGAGCTCTTACCCTCTCCACACACAGCAGAGGTTAGCTAACCCACTCTAGAATGCCCTAGTAATGTAAGCCAGTCACATCTTTACTACCAGCCCTTCAAGACCAATTTCAAAACCATGGCACAGAACTCCCACAGATTCTCAGCTCTTCCCTAACAGTAGCTAAGGTCTTTTAGTCACAAAGAACTTATCAGATTTTAATTTAATGGTGGGAGGTTGCCAGCTATGAAAGGTAGCTCACGCAGCAACCCTGCAAAGGCTAAGACAGGAGGAATGCCCAAGGTTTAAGGCAGCCTGTCCTACACAGTGAGCTCCAGTCCAGCCTGTACTGTAGTGAGTTGCCAGCCATTCTGGGCAACAGAGTAAGATCCTGTCTCCAGACAAAACCAAACACACACAAAAGGGGCAGGGAGGCCAGAGAGATGGCTTAGCAGTGAAGAGCACTTACTGCTCTTACAAAGGACCCAGGTTTGGTTCCCAGCAGCCTCATGGCTGCTCAAAGCAGCCTATGTCTGGTTCCCAGGAATGCAGCGCCCTCTTCAGGCTTCCGTGACTCATGTCTGCACATGATCACAGACATGCCCAGAAGCCGACCTAGTCAGCCTGCAGTAGACATTTCAAAAGCAAGCTGCTTTTTTCAAAATGAGGTACAGAAAACACTTCCTCAGTGAAGAACAGAAAAATAATTCCTACATCAATTCATTAAAAAAACCAAGTGAAATGGATGAACCCAAGTCTTCCACGGGCCCACGGCTATCACAGTAATACTGTGAACATTTCTGTTGCGCTATCATACACAGATGATAAAACTGAATGGGAAAGCATTCATCTAACTATGAAACTTGCCCTTGGCTGTGGTCTGGAGACGACATAGCTGTAGACCCTGTGGTCAGCGGTGTTGACCTGCAGGGGCCGGGATGGAGGCGGACTGAAAACACTTGGTACACCCTCTTGCTCATTCAGTCTGTCCTGGACAGCAGCCTGTGGTGGAGGACAAAACACAACTTCAGAGATGAAAGCAGAACTTCAGTGATGCTCAAATAAACCCACGAGGAAACTACTGCTTTGTGCCTCAAACAAGGTGAGCATTCCATGTCGTCCACGAGGAGTCCGTGCCCAGCAACCTTTCTCCTGCTGTACTGTGGAGCAAAGGGAGTCTCACACAGCAGAAGACAGCAGGGACTTGTCTTGAAACCACATTTACATAGCAAGCACACTGCTAATATTGTACATGTCATTCAGAGTAGCTAAGACATGTGCTTTCCCATACGATCCCAGGAAAAGCAGTGCACAGAAGACAGTTATGAGCAGCACATGCACTGCTGTGCAGTGGGCAGCGCTGGGATCCGATAGACAGTTTTGCCAAAGATGTAGTCTAAATACAGCTCCGCAGCCCAGAAAGAGCCTAACTTACAAGCCTTAGATTCTTTATGTGCAAAAATGAAGGAAACTTAATGCTTAAAATTAATCTAAAAAAAATTCTTTTTAAAAGTAAAGATACAGATTTGTTAAGAAAAAGTGAGAAAAAACTTCAAAGTGGGAGGAATGTGAGGGAGGGCCAACTTAAATCTGAAAATCTGAATATTCGGAGCTGGAATGTAGCTCAGTTGTTTGCTTGAATGCACGAGGTAGAGAAACCACTGCTTCCATCCCAGAACTCAGAGTGTGGAGGCCAAAGGCTCAAACTTTTGTGGTCATCTTGAGCTATGCAGGAAGTCTGAATTCAACCTTGACTTGAGACTGTCTCAAAGACAGAACAAAACAAAATCACTAGAAAAAATTTAAATATTCATGTTAAAAAAAAAAAAACCCTTCACTGTCTCTCTAAATTTCTGTCCCAGTTTTGTGACAAAATTGGCCATGCCCAAAGAGATGCCTGGTTTCCCCTTCTCCAGGATCTATGTGGTGTTAGGGGAATGTGGCAATGCCAGAAAGGCCAGAAAGGCCAGGGTTGTTGTTTATGGCGGAGACTTGGGCAATAGTATCTGTCAATTTGGCAACTGAGTCCAACCAAATAAGACAGCTAATCAAATCACTATGCCTAAATGATGAAGACCAACCAAACAGCAAACAAACAAAAACAACAAAACCAAAACCCCAAGCCACTCTGGACACCAGCTCAGCTGTGTCTTGGCTCAGCAGTCAGTGCACACGGCCACTCATGTGCACCCTGACCTGGCAGAAGACGGGTGTACAAATAGCCTATTTGGGAATCTTGGATACCCTGTCAAGTCTCTTAGCAGGTTTTAACCTATAGTAGTATCGTGTCAAAACCTAACTGTTTTCAGTGTGCTGCTAGTCAACTATTGAGCCTAAGGCAGGTGATGTACTTCGTTTGAACTTGCTGTTGATGTCAGAAGGGTCTTTGGGAGGGCTGGATGTCTAGTCTAGTAACTAGCCCTAACCTTTATGGTCTGACTAATTCTATGTAGTCAAATTGTACACAGTGGGAAAAGAATAACTCTTAGGGCTGGCATGCTGGCTCAGTGGGTGTCCTAATTACATTTTTGTCAACTTGATTGAGGCTAGAGTCATCTGGGAGGAAGGAACCACAACTGACAAAATACCCACATAAGACTGGCCTGAAGGCAAGTCTGTGGTGTATTTTCTGGATTAGTGACTAATGTGGGAGGGCCTAGCTCACTGTGGGTGATGCCACCCCTGGTATTTTATCACAGCAATAGACACTCTAACTAAGCCGGTAGGTAACAAAGTTTGCTGCCAGTCCCAGGAACCACGTGGTAGAAGGTCAGTTACACACAAAAGAAAATCTGGAAGGACACATACAAAAGCATCTGTGCTTATCTCTAGAAAGTGTAAGAACCTTTTTGTGTTTAAACTTATATAGGCATATTTTGTTTCTATAACGGGGAAAAGACAAACCATTACATTGGGAAATAAATCTTTCTAGCCACATTTATGCTATGCAAAATAATTTCACCAAATGAGGACTAAAAACAATGGATATAGCTATCTATATAGCTCACAAATCTAAGTCTCCAGTGTTTGGTAAACACATACTTATGAACAGCTGTTACTCTAGGAAAGAAGGAAACACAGGAGCAAGAGGACAAGCCAGCAACTTAGAGACAACCTGTCCTCTTTATCCGTATCACTGAGCAGAAATTTGAAACTATTATAGAACATTTCAGGGTTAGGAGCTGATAGGGAGGCATGTGATCCTTCTACTTATCTTCCTCCCTCTGTCCTTCTGCCCAGTCTGTTCGGGCACCCCCCCTTTCTTTGAGACAGGGGTTTGTTATGAAAAAGCTGGGTCTGACCTCCTAATCTTCCTGCCTTAGCCTCCCAAGTGCTGCAATTACAGGTGTCACCATGCCTAGTTTATCCCTTCCCAAGTGTATTTGTTTTTGTTTGAAAATATTAATTTAAAATACACTTATAAGCCGGGCGTTGGTGGCGCACGCCTTTAATCCCAGCACTTGGGAGGCAGAGGCAGGCGGATTTCTGAGTTCAAGGCCAGCCTGGTCTACAGAGTGAGTTCCAGGACAGCCAGGGCTACACAGAGAAACCCTGTCTCAAAAAACCTAAAAAAAAAAAAAAAAAATTATAGATTTATGATGTCAACAGAAAATTATTAAAGAGCCAGATACTAAAATGAAGTAAAATGAAAAGATTAATATTAAAAAAGGATAAACAAACTGAATTATTACGCCAAAGAAAAACAATAAAAGTTTTAAGTGTGTGTGTGTGTATCTGCATTAGTTCTAGGACAGTAACCGCTACACACACATACACACACACACACACACACACAAAAACTATCTTGAATAACCGCCACACACACACACACACACACACAATCTTGAAAACAACAAAAACCAATCTGAATATATAAATTTTATGCTGGGAGCAATTAACAAAACTAAAATGAAATTCTGTTTCCACAGGGCTTCCATTGCATAAAACTAGCTCAGGGCACTGGACCCGGGGAGCACGACAGTGGGAGCACTAAGGATGCATAAGGAGGAGCTACAGCAACACAATTCGTTACTTTCATAGTTCCCATACTTCTACCCGTGTATTTGGAACACAAAGAAGCCATAATTCTGAAATCAAACAAAAGCAACCCCCCGCCGTGTGTGTGTGTGTGTGTGTGTGTGTGTGTGTGAAGGGGGGTGTCCCGTGGCAGCAGGACATTAAGTGTGGTAGGAGTGGGTGCCCATACCTCCATGTTCCAGTTATGCTGCTCCAAGGCAAGACGACACTGCTCCATGGACTCTATGCCAGTCAGATCCTGAAACAAAGTGAAGCATGTGTTACCACCACAGGGCTGGGGCTGGAGCTCAGCGGTAAGGTGCTTGCCTAGGTTATCATGCACAAGGCCTTGGGTTCCATCTCCTGCACCACACAGACCACACATGGGTGCGTGGATGTGCGCTCACATGCCTGTGGAGCAGGTCACAGGATAACCTCAAGAGCATTCACCTTTTGTTTTTTGAGACATCTCTCACTGGTCTCGAACCTGCCAAGTAGGCTAGGCAGGCCGGCCATCAAGACTCCACAGTGCTGATATTAGAAGTGTGTCCCCCACGCTCAGCTCTTTTTTCTTTTACTCTGAGTTCTGGGTGTAGAACTCAAGTTCTTTACCAACTAAGTTATCTTCTTAGCCTCTTCCTCGTTTCTTAGCATTATTCTTTTTTTTTTAAGATTTATTTAAAAAAAAAAAGATTTATTTATTTGATGTATGTGAGTACACTGTAGCTGTCTTCAGACATACCAGAAGAGGGCACTGGATCCTATTACAGATGGTTGTGAGCCACCATGTGGTTGCTGGGAATTGAACTTAGAACCTCTGGAAGAGCGGACAGTGCTCTCAAACACTGAGCCGCCCTCCAGCCCTTTAGCATTGTTTTTTATTAGTTTTATTCTATCATGGGAAGTATTTTGGCTACACTGAGCAATTCTTTTTTTTGTTTTGTTTTGTTTTTTGGAGACAGGGTTTCTTTGTGTAGCCCTGGCTGTCCTGGAACTCACTCTGTAGACTAGGCTAGCCTCGAACTCTCGACCTCAGAAATCCGCCTGCCTCTGCCTCCCAAGTGCTGGGATTAAAGGCGTGCGCCACCACCACCTGGCCTACATTGAAAAAAAAAAATTAGCATCATGCCCACCATGAGTTAAAGACACTGACTGGAGTACAAAGTCAGTGAATGATAAAAGCAAACATCTGCAATCAAAACCTGGCTTATATGCAGATCTGCTGACACCTGATGTGACCGAAGACAACACTGTAGAAACAGCTGCACCTGGAATAAAGGTTAACTTCCTAACTATGGCTCCTTCTCTCACTATCCTGTTATAAACCAAGTGCTGCCACACCCCCCAGGTGGGCCCATCTGAGTGTCTCACTCCCTTACTCGCAGACATAATCCCTTCCCGTGGATTGATCTCTCAAAGGCTCAGGAGCTGCATTCAGATGTAGTAATTTACACAGCAGTATAACTGAGGACAGCACTAGAGAGAGATGGGTGACATTTATTGTTAGAGTCAAAATCTGCCTGGATTTCAATCAATCACAAGTACTACGTAGAAGGATAGTAGGAGAGTGTGGACCTGCTTTCCTCTGTCCAACTCTGTCCTAACTCTGTCTAGTCAGAAGTGAAGGGGTGCCAATCACTTGGGAAACAAATACTGAATATTATGATTCCTGATCTGGCTCTTAGGAGAGTATAATATAAAGAGGAAATCACAACAGACTGGGAATGTAACAATTTAACCAGATGTTTTAAGAAATTATCTGGATGTGGATTGAGAAAGCAGGGTATACTCAGCTGGCTTTCCTAAGTGTCTCTATTTCCGTATCTCAAGTGTTTTCATACTAACACACTCAGTAGATAGCTAAGTGCTTTGTGCTCCAATTGGCTTGCTGAGGCTTTTAAGTTATTCCCAGAATAAAAGTAGGCAAAAACCAGGAAACCTTTGTTCTCTCCTTCCCACCAAACAAGAGAGCTTTGCTTACTCAGAGAAAATGGAATTGAAAGTTCATTCAGAAAGTGATGACCTGTAACTAGGCTCTGACCTATAACTGAAGCGCTTACAGAAAACCTGTGTTTACATTTAAATACTGATATTCTAAATTAAATAGCAGCAATTCCCTCTTCCTAAGCACCTATACTAGGTAACCAGCACTGGGTGTGTAAAACCCTCATTTTCAACAATGAAAAACCAAGTAGCCAAAGGTCATCTTCCTGGCCAATAGTACTTGGTAACAGGGAGGCGAGGTCAGAGTGAGAGCTAGAACAACTCCCAATGCCCAGGCTCTCCAATGAAGCAATGCCTCTTATTACCTGATAAACTCATGTTTGAAAACAAGCTCCCAATCTTAATTCAGAAATTTTTTTTTTTTTTTTTTTTTTTGGTTTTTCGAGACAGGGTTTCTCTTATAGCCCGGGCTGTCCTGGAACTCACTCTGTAGACCAGGCTAGCCTCAAACTCAGAAATTCGCCTGCCTCTCCCTCCCAAGTGCTGGGACTAAAGGCGTGTGCCACTACCGCCCGGCCTTAATTCAGAAAATTTAAACGTTTATTGGAAATATGGTAATTTGGCTGGGTGGTAGCGACATAAACTTTTAATTCCAGTATAGGCAGAAACAGGTGGATCTGAGTTCAAGGCCATCCATAGCTATACAGTAAGATTGTGCCTCAAAAACAACGACAAAACTACTGTTAACACCCCCCACCATGAAGTTTTATTTAGAATCAGATTGGAAACCACTGCTTAGCCCTTTACATGTTAAACTAAATGCCTTATGCCAACCAAGAGACCAAGTATGTATTCATATTCTGGCTTCTTAAATATTTAGTATTTCACTGAACCAAAAGTTTCACAGGCAAATAGTTTAACCTACTTAAAAACACTACACGAATACCGGGGGCATAGCTCAGTCAAAGGACTTGCTTAGCATGTATGACATTTTCCCACAAATGAACCCATACCAGTATCTTATCAAGTGATTAAAAACAGGTGGACTAAGTGGATGAAGTCTTGTTAGGAGTTAGGGGACACCGGGGTCCTCAGTACTTCCTCCCAACCACTTTTTCACTCCCACTCACTAAATGATAATTGAGCTATCTTTCTTAGGTTCAGCCAAGTGCCTAGTGTGTTGGATTCAGATGGAAACATCATCTCAATAGTTTTCACAATGATGAAGAAGACATATCATAAAGATATTTGTAAGCACTGAAATGAGCCTGAGCATGCTTACAATGTAAAGTACTATGGTTAAATTTTAGGGAAAAAATCAAATAAGATCACCACCTTTGACCGAGTCCTACTCCAGTGTCCTGCCACCTGAGGCATTTCACTTCAACTAAAAAAAGCAGCACTGTGACCCTGGCCAACCTCTAAAGGTGACACTTCTGCTCAGAATCGATCCAAGAGGCCACCTCACCCCCCCACCTTTCAGCCTCTCCCCTCTGGGAAAATTTGCTTCTCTATGTTTCAAAATAAGGTTTTAAATATTTAAGTGAAAAAACAAGCCGTGAATTGGAAAAAAAATCTTTTAAGCCTTTACTTTAAGTACACAGGTGTTTTGCACGCATGTCTCTCTGTACCACGTGTACATAGGTAATGCCCACAGGGGCAGGAAGAGGTGCAGATCCCCAGGGACTAGGGTTGTGAACTTAGGGATGCTGGAACTTAAACCCAGGCTCTCTGGAAGAAGGCATCCATGATCTTAACCACTGAACTGTCTCTCCAGTTCCAAAGCATTAATATTTAGTCACAGACACTTTCTATCCTAAAAGTGGGTTTAATTCTATCAAGCACATCTATGTGTTAGTTACTGCCTTCTTGTTGCTGTGACCAAACACCAGACAAAAGCCAAGGGAGGCGTGGTTTTCTCCATGGCTCATGGCTTTAGGAGGCACACTCCATCATGGCAGCCCTGCATCTGCAGCCAGAAGAGCAACTGTGACCCTCAGTGGTCCTTCTCTTTTTAGTGGACCCGTCCTAGGAGCCACTCCTTCTTAAAGGCCACACAGACACACTTTAAAGTCTGTTTCCTAGGTGACTTCAAATCTAGTCAAGGCGATAATAAAGAACAGCGTTCCCAAGTCCATTCCTTGTCAACCTGACCATCCCACCTCAGTCCCCAAGGTTTCATGTTCACCCCTAATCCAAAAATGCAGGCACGGGGCTGGAGAGGTGGCCGGGCAGTTCAAACCTCTGACTGCTCTTGCGGAGAACCAGCACCCATAAGTCCCTCCAGTTGCAGAGGCTCCAGTGCCTTCTTCTGTCCTCCAAGGTCACAGTACACAGAATGACACACAGACATACAATGCAGGCAAATACTCATACACAGAAAGTCATTTTAAAATTACAAAATGAATTTAATCCATGTGTAAAAGTCCTCCAAGTCAGTCAGGAATAGTAGTGCACGCCTTTAACCCAGAGGCAGAGGCAGGTGGATCTCTGTGCGTTCAAGGCCACCCTGGTCTACAAAGTGAGTTCTAGAACAGCTGGGGCTACACAGAGAAACCCTGTCTTGAAAAACAAAACAAGTTTCCAAATCTTAACAGTTTTAACACTGTTCAAAAACCAAGTATCCAAATTCTATTGTGAGATACTAGGCAATCTCTTAACTAGGAGTGTCTGTCTATATAATAAAAAAAAATCAAACATTCAATGACATAGGTCAAATGCAAGATCCAACCAAATCCCGGACCCTATGTCTACGATCTGGGTCTCTTGGTCTGGGCTGCAGAGGGCCTAGACACATCTCCTCTTCTCCTTCCACAGCTGCAACACAATGAGCCTCTCTTGGGCCAGCCCCACTCTTCCTGCAACTTTCCTTGGGAGATGTCCCATGGTACTGCCATCTCTAACATCCTGGGCTCTCTACTGTATCCTCAAAGCTGACTAGGTCTTTAAATAGCCCAGGCTGTCCTTGAACTTGCTAAGTAGAAGAGGCTGTCCTCATCTTCTTGCCTTGTCTCCCAAATACTGGAATCATAGGTATGTGCTTTTCTTTCATTTTTTTCTCACCCTTTCATTGTATGCCATAGAATAACACAGTACACAGGCTCTTTTTGTTGTTGTTCTTTGCTTTGAGAAAGAATTTCTCTGTGCAGCCTTGGCTGTCCTGGAACCTGTAGACCAGACTAGCCTTGAACTCACTGCCGCCTGTGGGCTGGGATTAAAGGCATGAGACACCACTCCCAGTCAAGTGTACAGGCCTTCCAAACTTGGACTTCTTGGCCCCCAGAACTGTAAGAAACAAATCTTTGTCAACAGTGA